CTGCAAAAGGTCAGTGTAAATACATTATACACTGTAAATAAAAGCAATAAATGCCGCTCTTTTTCAGACTGGGCTTCATAATTAGTAAGTCAACATAACTACTGTGCCATGATGCATACCCACTTGCAGCCAAGAAGCATTGTGTCCTCTCTAATGTCTTTAAGAACTACATGACGCTTTTCAGCAGGGATTTTTCCTGGCTACTACTAAAATATCCCCTTTTCCTAAGGAAGTGCACTAGGCAACATATCATCCGCTTGCAGTTTCCAGAAGCAGTTGTTTCAGTGAAACTGTGCGAATTTAAAGAGTTTGGTTCTGTTTCATTTGGGGTAGCAAGCCCAACGTATCAGGGAAACAGGAGGGTCCTCCAGGAAGGCAACTACCAGCTCTGAAGTTCTGTTGTTTCAGTCATTACAGGGACCATTATGAGAGGTATACCAAGGTCAAGTCCTAAATTTTTAGAGTGACTTTAATGGGATCAGTTGAGTCATTTACATCACAGCAGGCAGCTGAGATCAGAACCTGGACCTTTGCCTATGAAATACAGCAGGGAATTGGGGAAAATCTGTGTTAAATATAGAATCAGTTAACAGCAAAGTTCTGGTTATGTCATCACAAACCAGGGAGTAAGCATGGGTGGAATCTGATAATTCTCAAGTAGCACATCTGTGAATTAATTACCAGATTCCACCAATGAAGGCAAAGGGAATGATCTAAGTCCCATGACTCACCAAGTTTTTATTCGTGTTTATAATACGCTGTTTCTAGTGATGAGCGCCTGGCTCAGCACAGCAATGATCACTGAAGTCCTGCTTTTCTCCTTTATTCTTAGGCAGGTATGCTGAGGACAGTGGTATGAAAAATATATATATATATATCAAGCAATAACAGGTTAAAGGAAATGCTTAGTTACGTTTCCTGCTCTGGCAAATAAAAAGAATATTGGCTGTGTGTGTAGGCCAAAGTCTGCTTTGCTCTTCCTACGTTTGTAGTTAGCTAAAAATAACAGCTCAGAAAGCTGTTCTTTAAACATGAAGTTTTCTGGCCTCAGGCATAACCAGGAAGAGCAGTGGAATGCACATCTTGAACTGCAACCTTTCTTGTTACTGACAGCTCTGAGTGGAAGAAGAAACACACGGTCTCCACCTAGTAAGACTTACCCTTCTAATACTGATGTGTTGAAAATGCAGTTATAGTGTTATCATAGGATAACATTAGAGTCACTTGGGTCTATTTTCATAAAGAGCTCAGCGCTGCCCCTCTGCTCCCTGTGAGCCGCCATGAGGCCTCCCCTCAGCTCCTCTGCTCTGGGCCTCAGAGCTCCTCATATGTTTTGCCCTTCAGATCCTTCCCCATCTTTGTAGCCCTTTATAATGTATCTCATTTGAATATAGATTTTTGTTTGTTAATTTGTCCAGGAACGACCCATCGCCCTGCTCCCTGTTGTCTGACCTGAGCTAGTGCTGCAGTTAGCAGCTCAGTAGCACAGAGGGAGAAAGAGAGGAGCCATGGCTCACAGTCGTCCCTGAGTCGCAGCCTCCCAGGCCCTGCTGCATAACCCTCACCCAGTTTAATTCTTTGCTGTCTCTGCTAGTGCTAACTCTGGTCTGTGTCGTGATTGACTTTGAAGGAACGGTCTCCTTTAATTTTTCAGCTGCACTTAACTTTATAAAGCTAATATCTTCTTCGGCTTATACTTGTGTGTCAAACGTCTGTCTCCAAAAGGTTAGATGGCAGCCTGATCTGAAACGAGGGGAAAAGGGCATGTCTAACAACAGCCCCTACCTTGACTGAAGATAACTGCAGACGAGCTTTCAACTAAAGTCGTCTTCCCAGTGCATCCTTAATTGACTTAATTTTATGGTCTCAGTACTTGCAGAGGCTGCTTAATAAGTGCTAAAAATATATCATTTCCTAATGGTATAACAAATTTGACTTTAACTACTGTATATTTGGATTAATGTATTCACTACAGTCAAGTTTAAATATCTGTGAAGGTTCTGTATTTTTTCCCTAAGGGAAGAACACTTCTCCAGCTTTCACAGCTCTGCTTTTCACTGAGCATCCTGACTGGGCTGCATAAGCTGTGCTTGCAGCTCCTGAGTGGTACCAGTATTTTTTGAAGTGCAACATTATGGGTAGCATGTTATCTTCCCAGGCCTCTTTACTTCAAGGTCAGCAGATATTTTCCTGGCAGAAGCATACTTTAGTTTTAACAAAAGGGAAAGGAGAAAAAGAGGGAAGTTTTGTCAGTCTCATAAAGAAAGAAGGCCAAGCTCAGGGATGTCTAATGAGGTTGTCCTCAAATATCTTCAGCTGCACTTAGGCAATGACTAGCAGGGTTTGGTATGGCTAACAGGCATTTTCATAAGGCACGGCTGGAAAATCAAAAGCTGAGCTCTCCTGCTGTCTGCTCATACCCATGGTCTCTAGGGAGATAAACTGTGATGCATCTGTGTAATGATACATTTTTTTTCTCTGACTGCAAGAATCTGTATTCTAGACTCTTCTGTTTGGTTCCCTAGTTCTGCTTGCTGACAATCACCTGCTCAGGAGCGGTCCCCTTTAGCTAGGCGCCTGCCACTCTGAGTTCTTTGGATGTGTTGAAAATGTTTTGATTATCTGAGCAAAATCATATTTGCATAATTACAGGTAATTTTTTATGGACACGTAATATATGAATTATCATGTTTTCTTAATAAGTGCTCAGCAATACTTGATGTTAGTATTTCTCTTTTAAGACAATGAAAAACAGAAATTAATACAAAATGTCTTTAGTTACTAGAAAATGTGAATCCTTTTTATCAGGTGTTTAGTGTGATGCTCTAATGTTTACCTGCACCCATGATGCTTCCATTAAGAGGACATTGTATTTTGTTCACCACTCAGCGGTAGATGCATTGAGGCAAAGTTGCATTACAAATCCAGTTTTGGTGTCTTATATATGAGGAAAAAGGTGTAAAAAAAAAAAAAAAATAAATAATAAATCTGAATAGAGAATTCTTTTAAGGCAATGTCATTTCAGTGCATGAAGGTATCAGAATTTCTTCAGTTTAAGATTTGGAGGTGTTGGTGTTGTGTTGTTTTGTTTTTTTTTGTTTGGTTTGGTTTTGACAAGAGCTTGAGTTAACATGCTGTAAAGTTCCTTCTTTTGAATTCAGAGGAACTCCACCTTGGGAGTTAAACTTGGTAGGTTCTGCAGTGCAGATATTATCGATACCACTTTCCAGTGTTGACAAGCCCTTAAGTAGCATATTGACATCACCAAATCTACTTTTGTTTCCATGTTCCCCCTGCTGCGCTGCTGTCAAGTACAGAGAAAAAGTTATTTCTGAGTAACTCTTCTTTGGTGAAAATTTTAGTGGTGACATTTCTGTTTGTGATAGATTGCACAAAATCAATTTGAATCAACAAAAATCAAGGTTCTGTGATGATAGCCTAATTTTATTTTTTCTCTCCAGAACAAGAACACCCAAGTGCTGTTATGAACTGAATTACATTTGCGTAGACATCCAGGCAAGCAAAATCCAGACACTTGTGTTGAACAATGTTGTTAAAGGTAAGTGAAGAACATACACCAATATTCAACATCCAATAGAGGAACCATTAAATCTGTTCAGGTTCTGCCTCTTATGATGTGGTAAAGCTGATATTAGATATTTTTCATTTGAGAAGCTGATTTTTATCATTCGGTGCCAAATATTCCAAGGTTCAAAAATATTCCTGTGCTTTGCAGAAGATAGGAGGCAACAGTGCTCAGGGCTGTGCGGAGCAGAGTGGCAGGGGCAAACTTCAGTGCTACGGTCAGCTTGTAAAAATGAGATGGAAACGTTGATCAGAGAGGACCACCAGACAGCGTGGGGTTAGCGGGACTGAGCCAGGGCTTCTGAGGTGCAGCAGCCACATGCCTTAGACTAGGTGGCTGGTTAAGAGTTAACGTATTAGAAAAACTAGTTTGAAAAAGTTGTTCCTGTCGGGATGACTCATGTTAGGCAGGTCAGACCTGCATATTCACTTCACTTTAGCGTAATCATGCATGAATGTAAGTTTCTGCTTGTTTCAGTGTCTTTCAGGACTAGGGGGAAGTTCTATTTTGCAAGTGCAGCACATTCATGCTTCAACCCAAAGTTTAAGAAATGATAGTGCTTTGAAAAGGAGCATTCCTCGCATTTGCCACAGTCTTACCAGAATTGGAGGGTTTGGGATTGGGGTCTGCTTTGTGGCTGAAAACAAATCCGGTACACTCATACATTCCAGACGTTTGCGGTGATTTCAAAAACGCTAACGACTATCGATAGCTCTGGGAGGGAGAAGCGGGACCCGCCGGCGGCCCGGGTTGCCCTTCGCAGCCAGGCTGGAGGCAATGGCAGCAGCGGGAGCCGCACGGAGCTGCCCCGGGCGCTTCGTACCGCTCGGCTGGGGCCGGCTGGGGACTGCCCAGAACCCCGGGACCCTTGGGGCGGGGGGCACGGACAGGAGGTGAGGTGCGGAGAGGCCGGAGGAGCGGGAAACGAGAGAGCCACAAGTTGCCGCGAGGAGCTTGT